GCGGTGTCGGCCAAGAAACACTTTTCTTGAAGGCCCTTGTATAAGCTTCCCAAGGGGCACAAAACCCTCCGATCCCTTCCTCCAGTGGCTTCTTCCTTCTGCGAAGCCCCTCCCAGCTGCTTTGCCAGGATTTCCCTGTGCTCTTTAAATCTCTCTCTGCTCTTTTCAATAAAATTCTTTTGCTGAAAGTTGCCTTCTCAGTTTGTTCATCAGTTTCATACTTCATCACAGATAGAACAAGCTCCCAGGGTTCAAATCAGCTGTGACATCTTGGTGCATTGGCCAGGAATTCTCCCCTCTACTATTGGCTGTAACACTGGTTCCTTCATAATTTCATAGTAATTACATATTTGTCTGATAGTGTTTATATGTCTATTTTCTCCAGTAAATATAAGATTTACAACAGCTGGGACTTTGTTTTACCCACAAGGTCATAATCCCATCAAAAGAACACAAGTTCCCGTGCACAGTATGTACCTAATGGATATTAAATAAATTTCATTCACTTTGTAGAAAACTTGTTTCAGTATCAGTATAAGTAAGGAATATGTTTGTGAGCAAATAACAAAACCTAATGAACACTGGCTTAAATAATTTGGATTTGTTTCCTACAGTAAGAATATTACTATAATTATGGTAATTTGATATAGTTTCCTATAGAAAATTTTATGAAAAATTTCAAACATAAAAATACTTGAAATTTATGGTGAATACCTATATACTGATTGTACCATTGACAACTTATTATATAGTTTTTCCTTATTGCCTTACCATGTATCCACTTAGTCATCCCCCATTCATATTTTTTGATTCTTTTATTTTACCTGAAAGGCAGAGAGTAAGAGGGATAACTCCAATCCACTGGTTCATTTTCCAGAAAGCTGGGGCTCAGCTAGACTGAAGCCGTGTTAGGAACTCCAGGTCTCCTATGTGAGTTACCCAAAGTGACCCAAGTCCTTGAGACACCACCTGTTGCATCCCAGGGTGTGCATTAGCAGGAAGTTGCAATCTCAGCTGAGCCAGGACTTTAACCCAGGCACTCCAGTACATCCCAGGCAGCATCTTAAACTCCATGCAAACAGCCCACACCAGATGCATTTCAGTGGGAATTGTGCTTGAGCAGCTTTCATCCTAAACATGTCAGCACACACATTATGTAGGGTTCAGTATGTGCTTGAGGTTCTTGTTTGAGACTGCTGTTGTGGTCCAGCAGGTTAAGCTGTTGTTTGTGACAACCTGCAGTCTGTATTGGAGCATGGTTTGCATCTTGGCTGCTCTGCTTCTGATCCAGCTCTCTGCTAATACACCTGAAAAAGCAGCACATGATGGCTGAAGTACTTGGGCTTCTGCCACCCACGTAGGAGACCCAGATGGAGTTCCTGGCTCCTGGCTTGTTGGGGCCATTTTTGGGGGGTGAATCAGTGTATGGAAGATTGCTTTCTCTGTCTCTCATTCTGCCTTTCAAATCAATCAATTTTGAAACAATATTTAAAAAAAATTTCTTGTTTGAGGTAAAATTTAATTCAATAAAATGCTTAGGTCTTAAATGTACTGTTCAATAAGTTTTGACAAATGCAGACACTTGTGTAACAAAAACCTCTATTATGATTCAATTACTAAATTACTATTAGCCCACAAGATTCCCTTCTACCTCTTTATATAATTTATTTGGAAGCAGAGTGCCAGAGAGAGAGAGAGAGAGAGAGAGAGAGATCTTGCATCTACTGTTCCCCAAATGGCCCCAACACCTAGAGCCGGACTGGAGCCAGGAGCCAAGAGCTCTATCTGGGTCTCCCACATGGGTGGCAGGGGCCCAAGTACATGAGCCTTTATCTACTGCCTTTTCAGGCACATTAGCAGGAAGCTGGATTGGAGTGCCAGTGTTGGGAGTGGTGGCTTAACCTGCTACGTTACAACACTGGCCTCTGTCCTACCTCTTTATTTCTATCCTTACCTGCCCAAAGTAAATACCATGCTGATCTTTTTTCTTTCTTTTAATCATAGAATAGTTTTTCTTATTTAATAACTGCATTTAAATGAAATCATAATCTTTTGTGTAAGACTTTTTTACTAAGGCATGCTTTTGAGAGTAATCCATTATGTTGTATAAATAATTCATTCCTTTTTAAAGTTGGTTAGTAATTATCAAAAGTTGTTTTTTTATCTGTTTTATCGACCTTTTTTTCCTTTTTCCTATTATGCATAAAGCTGTTAGGAATTTTTTTTAAGATTTATTTTTTATTTATTTGAAAGGTAGAGTTAGAGAGAGAAAGGGGAGGAGAGAGAGAGATCTTCCATCCTCTGGTTTACTTCCCAAATGACTGCAATGGCGGGGCTAGGCCAGGCTGCAGCCAGCAGCCAGGAGCTTCCTCTGAATCTCCCACGCAGGTGCAGGGGCCCAAGCACTTTCCTAGGTGTATTAGCACATTATCAGGGAGCTAGATCGGGTGTGGAGCAGCCAGGACTCGAATTGGTGCTCATATCTATACCACAACGCTGGCTTCAGGAATATTCTTGTACAAGCCTTTTGTGGACATGTTTCATTTCTCTCGGATAAATACTTAGGGGTGGATATACTGGGTCATATTTAGATATATATTTAGATTTTCTAGACCTTCCAAATTGTACCAGTTTACCTCCCCACCCCCAAAAATATGTGAGAGCTCTGGTTGCTTTACATTCTCACCAACTTTGATGTCATTAATCTTTTTAATTTTATCTATTTTGGTGTACATGGAACTTTATTTTTAATTTTTAATTATTCTATATCCCACCTCTTCACCCCAACCCCTACCAATACACAATAAGGAATCTGTAGGAGGTGGGATGGGATTGAGGCATCTACTCAATGAAGCTGCCAGAGACTCAAACATTTTTAGCTTTTTTTCATCCCTAGTGAATTGCCCATAATCCCATGCATGAGACCTGTGGATAGGCAGCCTCTAAAATGGCTGCCATGACCCCTGCCTCTTGGTATTCTTGCTCTGGTGTAATCTCTTTCCTTCCTGGATGGCCTGGATTTAGTAACTTGTTTCTAATGGAATACAGCAGAAGTGAAGGGATGCTGCTTCTGAGATTAGGTCACAAAAGACTCGCTGCTGGGTGGGATGCTTCCTCACATCTGTCATGTATCTCAGATCAACAATCAGGAGTGAGCTTTGGAGTGGATTTCCTCCTAGTTGGGCCTTCAAGGTGAGACCAAAAAGCCATTTCTGGATTCTTGGCCCTCAGAAATTGTAAGATACTAAATGTTTGTAGTTTTAAGCCATTACATTTTTGGGTAGTATATAACAATTGATACCAATATAACACCCTCTTTGTCTCATTGTCAAGATGGCTACTTGTACCTTAAGGGCTTCATATTCTTGTCCAGACAGAACTGTGAAAGGCATTTTGAAGAGATGAATCTGTCCATTTTTATCAGGAAATCAAAAGCCTTGCCATCAATCTCACCCAGCAGGTTTAGGTTTTATCTTATTGGCCAGAGGTAATGCCATATGACTACTACTTGTTGGAAGGTGGCTACAGAGAAATGGCAATGTTTGCCATATTAACCATTGTACAAACCCCACAGAGTTAAAGACCACTTCTTTAACTCCAGTTCCTTTTCTGTATGCATCTGTAAGCATAAATACAGTCATTTTTTTGTAGAAGTAGTTACATTTTGAGCAACATTTGATTTTTCAACACTATTTTGGAGATCATCCTATTCCATATACATCCATCTCATTTTTTTTTTTTTGGAAGAGCAGCAATACTCTGAACGTGTACCTTTGCTCACACAATTTGTTGATGAGCACCTAGGATTTTTCTGAAATTTTGCTCTATCAAGCAGTGTTTTGAAGTGCAACATCGTTGCACAAATGATTTGATGATTCATGGTGGAGAATATAATTTCTTCTAATCCTGGAGGTGGGTAATGAGGTCATAGTCTAGGGGGAGTTTAAACAATTTTTAAAAAGCTTTATCTATTTGATAAGCAGAGAGACACACAGAGAGGGAAAGACAGAAAACTTCCATCCACTGGTTTACTCCCGTCAAAACCAAAACAGGGCTGGGCCAGGCTGAAATGAGATTTCAAGACTCCATGCCACATGGGTGGCAGAAACCCAAGCATTTGAGGCATCATCGGCTTCCCCTCAGGGTACACATTAGCAGGAAGCTGGATCAGAAGCAGAGGCAGGATTTGACCCCAGGCACTCTTATAAACGGGATGCGGTTGTCCCTTGCAGCAGCTGAAGCTGCCGTGCCCCAACACTCACCTCTAAGCTGATTTTTTTTAAGATTTACTTTATTTATTTAAAAGAGTTACACATAGAGAGAGGGAGAGGCAGAGAAAGAGAGATGTCTTCCATCCGCTGGTTCACTCCCCAAATGGCCGCGATGGCCGGTGCTGGGGCCCAAGCACTCGGGCCATATTCTACTGCTTTCCCAGGCCATAGCAGAGTTGGATCGGAAGTGGAGCAGCGGTGTGTGTGTGGGGGGGGGGCTCGAACCGGCATCCACATGGGATGCCAGCACTGCAGGCAGTGGCTTTACCCGCTATGCCACAGAGCTGGCCCCACTAGCTTGGTTTTAAAAGCCAATCATTTTACCCTTATCATCAACAGCCCCAATCTGCATATTTGAATGTCTGCAAAGCTACAGATTTCTAGCAGAATTGGCTAAGTACTTTTGAGTCAACAAATTTATATCCCACAGCGAAGAGTCCATGGTTAGGCATATAGTAGACTCATCAAATGTCTATTGTAATTTCCAGCGACTAGCCTTGGTAACACTTGTTGAAATTTATTAAAGGCAAGGACCTACGTCCAAGTCCTTTATCCACCCCCTCCTCTTTCACTCTCGCGCCGTCGGCCGGGGGAAGGGGCGTGCCCAGCAGTATGGCCCATCCCACCAGGCGTTCACTAGTTAAGCTCGACGCTCGTTATTGCTGAGTCCCGCCCAAGCCACGCCCCCACGCAGCCCGCCAGACAGGGAGTAGGCGTGGTCACTGCCACGCCGGGCGGTCCGGGCGGTCTCCTCAGCAGAGGATCCGAGGAGATCTAGTGTGGGAAGGGAGTGGGGAACCAGCTGTCGTGACAGCGCGTGTCGCTGCCGCGAGGAGTTGGCGACACAGGCCAGCGGCCCGCCGCCGGCCAACGCCGTGCCCCGCCCCCTCGGCACGCAGGCCCCGCGCGAGCACGCGCACGCGTGCGCGAATCCGCCAGAGCCTGAGTCCGGCCAGCGGTGACGGGGACAGGGACGGGGCGGGCAGAGGCTGGGCTGCTGAGGTACGAGGGGAGGAGCCCGAGCCGCCGCCGCCGCCGCCACCGCCACTGCCACCTCCGCTGCCGTCGAGGGAGAGGAGCATGTCTGCAACTCGAGCCAAGAAAGTGAAGATGGCCACCAAATCATGCCCGGAGTGCGACCAACAGGTGGGCGCCGAGGCCGGGCGCGCGAGCTGGCGGTCCGAGTGCGCGCGGGCGGGCGGCCGTTGCTTGGCGGCCGTTGGCTGAGGAGAAGCGGCCTCGCTGGGGTCCCGGCGGCCGAGCGGGTGGGCAGGCCCTTGGGTGGGTGGCGGCGGCGGGCGCCCGGGACCCTCCGGGGTGAGCCAAGGGGTGTGGGGGAAGCCCCCGGGCCGCAGCCTGGCCCGTACCCAGCGGCGGCGGTCTGACGGGCGAGTCCCTGGGTTGCACGGCTGGGGCCGCGGGAGGGGGCGTGGGTTTATGGTGATCTGACGGGGTGGGTGCCTGTCGGGACCCTCTGGGAGTCGCCTCGCAGACTGCGAGTGACAGCGGTGGGAGCCGGGGAGCCGCGGCCCACGAGCACGAGCGCGGCCCCTGGTTAGCCCCCTCGGCCCGGCGAGAATGCCCAGTGTGCCCGGCTCCGAGTCCAGGCCCCTGGCTCCGCAGCCCCTTCCAGCCACCCAGGGTTGCTTTGTTCCCATTTCAGCTGTGCACTGCGGCTCCCCAAAACTCCCCACCGCGACCTAACATGACAAAAGGGACCCCAGTGGAATGATTTTAAGATTAGGCAAATTGTGAGATTTCTCCCCCTGATGAATTATATTTTTGGTGTTGTATAACCGTGCAGGCTTTTCTTACATTGTTTTTAGTGGAACATTATTGAATAACATCCCCATTGAATCTTTTCCTTTCTGGGCGCTCCTTACTACCCCACCTCTTGTGGTATCCACTGTTACAAAATTTGGCAAGTCTGCTTTCAGATCTTTAAAATACATACACACACATATATGTGTATATACACACACACATAGTCTTGTGATTTTTGAGTGATTTCTTTTGCCCTGAATTCATGGTATAGTTAAGATTTGAAAAATCTAATTTTGGTATTTCCTACGTGTAAGCCTGCCTCATTCTTTACTGGAATAATAGACATTCTTCTAAGCTTTACGGTCTGATGAGTTAAAAGTCTCTCAATTAAAACCATTTGTAAGGCCCTCATTTCATGCCAACATGCAGATCTGGGAGTGTTTTTCCTTTTCCACTGAGTGAATTTTTTCAAAGTGACTACCTCTCTGTCCTCCCCTTTTTCTTTCTTTCTTTTTTTTTTAAGTCCAGAGTAATTTGAAATGACTGGAGACTTTTTTTTTATAAACTGATTTTAATGCACTCCTTAAGGAGCAGTCTTGTAGGTTGATCAGATCTTCTGACAGCATGTTAACATGTTTGATTCAGTATCTTTTATGGGCAGTGGTAAAAATGATGTTCAGAGAAAGATTGTGTTAGAATAGTTTATTGAACTGTACTAGTATTCAGTATAAAAACAATTTAATCATGTTTTCCAGAATAATTACTTTCATTCTTACATTAAACCAAATTTGTTAAATTCTGACTATTGGCCTTTTTTGCACCAAAATAAACACATATTTCAATTGCATTTTTCCATCAACTTTTTGAAACACCCTACTTAGTTTCTTTGCAGGTAAAGGTTATAGGTTATTTCAGTGTTTAAACATTTCCACTTATTCTGTAGTTAAATTGTATAAAAGTATAAGGTTTACGTGGTATGCATTATGCATTCCAGTTTCGGTAGAGCACAAGTCATTGCAAATCCTGTCCTTGTTTTAGTTGGCTTAAAATAACCTTTAGGGGGAAATAACCTGTTTTTAATATCCTGGTTGAAGAAAGAGTAAAGGATAATAAACTTTAGGAGTCCGTAAAACTGTTCAACAAAACATGATCAGTTATTTGGAAAGATCACATTAATTTTGTTTTACACAGAGACATCCACAAATGTTCTTAGATTCTTTTGTGTAAAATCAGCCATATCTTGGTGTGGTCTGGCAGCCAAAACAAAATACCATAGATTGGCTTACAATTTTTCTCCCTTTTTGGGCTAGAATTCTAAGATCAGGGTGCCAGCATGGTTGTGCTCTCTTTTTGACTTGCAGATGACTGTCTTCTTGTTTTCACATGGTGAACAGAGCATTCAGACTCCTATTAATGTCATCAATCCTGTCGTGAAGTCCCCACCCTCACAACCTTATCTAAACCTAATTATCTTCTAAAGGCTCCATCTCCAATTACGGTCACATTGGGCTTTGGTCTATGAATTTTGGAGAACACAGTCTAGCCCATAGCAAGTTAGTACATAACTTGTCCCTTATATTATATTATATTATATTCTCTTAATATAACATACATGAAGGCAATTAAAATTGTTATTCTTAAAAGGAATTTTCTTTAGTAAAAGTAACTGTTGAGGCCAGAGCCACGGCTCAATAGGCTAATCCTCCGCCTTTGCGGCGCTGGTACACCAGGTTCTAGTCCCGATCCGGGCACCGGATTCTGTCCTGGTTGCCCCTCTTCCAGGCCAGCTCTCTGCTGTGGCCCGGGAGTGCAGTGGAGGATGGTCCAAGTGCTTGGGCCCTGCACCCCATGGGAGACCAGGAGAAGCACCTGGCTCCCGGATGGCCCAAGTCCTTGGGCCCTGCACCCCATGGGAGACCAGGATAAGAACCTGGCTCCCGGCTTTGGATCAGCGTGGTGCGCCGGCGGCAGCGGCCATTGGAGAGTGAACCAACGGCAAAGGAAGACCTTTCTCTCTGTCTCTCTTTCTCACTGTCCACTCTGCCTGTCAAAAAAAAAAAAAAAAAAAAGTAACTTGAAGAAAGTAATAGGTTAATTTTAGCTTTCTGATTATTTAAAGGTACGAGCTTCTTTTAATTATATACCAGAAAAAATTATAATCTAGAAAGCCATTTTCTAAACATCATATTAGAATATGGCTGTGATTCTAAATTGCCTACCAAATACTAAATTAGAATTTAGGCATAGTTTATAAATGTAAAATATAAATTTTGAAATTTTTATAGCCAACTGTATTTACATGTCATGAGTGTGTTTATGTGTGTGTAAATTTAAACAAGTAAAAGCTAGGTAAGGACAATGAGAAGATAATTGACTGATTTATAATATCTCCTTTGCAAGTCTCTCTTGAAAATTGGTTCTTGGGAGCAGTGTTGTGTTTAGGGGTGAACAAGCAGATGGAAACTATCTCTGTCTCTCTCTCTACCTGCCCTTTTTTTTTTAAAAAATAATTTTATTTATTTATTTGGGAGGTAGAATTACAGAGAGAGGGAGAGACCGAAAGATCTTCTATCCATTGGTTCATTCCCCAAAATGGCTGCAATAGCCAGAGTTGGGCTGATCTGAAACCAGGAGCCAGGAGCTGCTTCTGGGTCTCCCACTCAGGTGCAGGGGCCCAAAGACTTGGGCCATCTTCCACTGTTTTCTCAGACCATAAGCTGAGAGATGAATTGGAAGAGAAGCAACCAGGATGCGAACTGGTACCCATATGGGATGCTGGCGCTGCATCTGCCTTTCAAGTAAAATAAATCTTAAAAGAAAAAAAAATTAGATCTAAAGCATAGTACTTTTCATTTTAAAGGGATTTCACATCCATTAATCTCTCAAAATTACTGAGCTTTTTTGTGTGTAATAGTGGCCAGTTTTTTGGGTGTCTGTAGTATATGTTTCTGTTTGTCTTTTGTAAAAATAGAGCAGATTTTTTCATTTATAGGAATTTTTATGTCACATAGCAAACATGTCTGCTCTTGGTACCTGATTCTCTTAGCAGTAAAGAATACATAGTAGTCACCCTCTCCTCTGCCTTATCTGTGGGAAAAACATTCCAAGACTATCACTTTGCCTATCTTGGATAGTACTGATACATTATTTTTGTGTCTTTTTGTTGTTGTTGTTTTGAAAGGCAGAACAAGTGATTGAGAAAGAGAGAGAGAGAAAGACCTTCCATCTGTTGGATCACTGCAACAGCCAGGGCTGGGCCAGGCTGAACCCAGGAGCCCAAAACTCAATCTGGGTCCCCAGTGTGGGTGCCTGAGACCCAAGTACTTGAGCCATCACCTGCTGTCTCCCAGGGTGCAGATTAGCAGGAAGCTGGATTGGAAGTGGAGTAGCCAGGACTCCAACCAGGCACTCCAGATATGGGATACTGTAGGATGCATTCATTCCAAGGGGTGACTTAATCACTGTGCTACAATGCCTGCCCGCCCCGTTATTTTTTTGTTTTGTTTTGTTTAATTTTTTGAAAAGAGATAAAAAGGGATCTCCCATTTACAGGTTCACTCCCCAAATACCGACAAGAGCTGGGGCTGAGCCATTACTGCTGCCTCCTAGAATATGTATTAGTAGGAAACTGGAATCCAGCAACAGATCTGGAACTCAAACCCTGGCATTGACATAGAAGGCAGGCATCCCAATAGGTGTCTTAATCATGGCATCCACCAAGTATCTACTCCTCTACTGTGTTTTTTCTTATACACATACTGCTAATAAAGTTTAATTTTTAAATTAGGTTTAGTGAGAGATTAACAGTAATGAAACAATTAGGACAATATACTATAAAAAAGTTTTGTGAATATTGTTTCTCTCAAAATATTGTACATGGGGCCAGCGCTGTGGCGTAGCTGGTAAAGCTGCTGCCTGCAGTGCTGGCATCTCATATGGGTGCCTGTTCAAGTCCCGGTGGTGCCACTTCTAATCCAACTCCCTGTGATGGCCTAGGAAGGAAGTGGAAAATGGCCCAAGTCATTGGGCCCCTGCACTTATGTGGGAGACCCAGAAGAAGTTCCTGGCTCCCAGCTTCAGATTGGCTCAGCTCCAGCCATTGTGGCATCTGGGGAGTGAACCAGTGGATGGAACACCTACCTTTCCCTCTCCCTCTCCCTTGCCCCCTCTCCTCCTCTCCCTCTCTCCCTCTCTCCCTCCTTCTTCCCCCCACCTCTCTGTAACTCTGCTTTTCAAATCTAAAAAAAAAAAAATTATACTTAGCCTTTTTGACTGTGGGTAAATTTAAACCTTAGAAAGTGAAACCATAGATAAGGGGAAACTGGTGTAAATGAGTTCTCTGTAATATGATTATTTTGGAGTTTTTAAAAATCATGGGGTGAGCTTTCAACTTGGTAGTTAAGATGTCCTTGTCCAACATTATAGTCCCTGGTTCAGGTTCCTGAATCCAGCTTCTTGCTTATGCACATCCTGGAAGGTGGTGGTGCAGGAGACTGGGGTTGAGTCCTTGGTTTCTGTTTTCAGTCCCTGCCCCCATTGCAGGCATCTGAGAAGTGAATCAGTGGATAGGAGCTTTCTCTGTCTCTTGCTCTCTTAGTCTCTCTCCCTATTTATTTATTTGTAAAGATATAAGTAAGGGCCAGCATTGTGGTAAAGCTACCACCTGTGACACTGGCATATAATATGGGCCTCGATTTGAGTCCTGGCTGCTCCACTTCTGATCCAGCTCCTGCTAATGCACCTGGGAAATCAGCAGAAAATGGCCCAAGATCTTGGGCCTGTTGCCCCCATGTGGGAGGCCCATATGAAGCGCCTGGCTCCTGGCTTTGGCCTGACCCAGCTCCAGCTATTGTGGCCATTTGGAGAGTGAACCAGCGGATGAAAGATCTCTCTCTGTCTGTTTCTCTCTCTCTGTAACTCTGCCTTTCAAATACATAAAATAAATATTTTAAGAAAAGATACAAATTGGCCGGCGCTGTGGCTCACTAGGCTAATCCTCCACCTGCGGCGCTGGCACACCGGGTTCTAGTCCGGGTCGGGGCGCCGGATTCTGTCCCGGTTGCCCCTCTTCCAGACCAGCTCTCTGCTGTGGCCCAGGAGTGCAGTGGAGGATGGCCCAAATGCTTGGGCCCTGCACCCCATGGGAGACCAGGAGAAGCACCTGGCTCCTGCCTTCGGATCAGCACAGCGCGCCGGCCACGGCAGCCATTGGAGGGTGAACCGATGGCAAAAGGAAGACCTTTCTCTCTGTCTCTCTCTCCACTCTGCCTGTCAAAAAAAAAAAAAAAAAAAAGGCCCACACCGCGGCTCACTAGGCTAATCCTCCGCCTAGCGGTGCCGGCACACTGGGTTCTAGTCCCGGTTGGGGCGCCGGATTCTGTCCCGGTTGCCCCTCTTCCAGGCCAGCTCTCTGCTGTGGCCCGGGAGTGCAGTGGAGGATGGCCCAGGTGCTTGGGCCCTGCACCCCATGGGAGACCAGGAAAAGCACCTGGCTCCTGGCTCCTGCCATTGGATCAGCGCGGTGCGCCGGCTGCAGCGCGCTGGCCGCGGTGGCCATTGGAGGGTTAACCAACGGCAAAGGAAGACCTTTCTCTCTGGCTCTCTCTTTCACTGTCCACTCTGCCTGTCAAAAAAAAAAAAAAAAAACAACCACAAATAAATAAAAATCAGTGAAACAACATAGGACCACATATGACCAGGATTTGAAATAGTGGTGGTGGTTTTTTTTACTTTTTCTGCAACCTTTTTGCAGTGTTCTTACTATTTACCCGGCAGATGTAGACAGACAGTGAGAGAGAGAGAGAGAGAAACAGAAAGGTCCTTTTTCCGTTGGTTCACTCCCCAAATGGTGGCCATGGCTGGCACGCTGTGGCTGGCGCGCTGCGCCAATCTGAAGCCAGGAGCCAAGAGCTTCCTCCTGGTCTCCCATGCAGGTGCAGGGCCCAAGCACTTGCGCCATCCTCTACTGCCTTCCCGGGCCACAGCAGAGAGCTGGACTGGAAGAGGAGCAACTGGGACAGAATCTGACACCCTAACCAGGACTAGAACCCGGAGTCCTGGCTCCGCAGGCATAGGATTAGCCAAGTGAGCTGCGGCACCGGCCCACAACTTTTTTCTTTTTCCCTGTTTTACTTGTAAAACATACAACCCAACTATGCTTTTTTTTTTTTTTTTTGAACAAAAGATTTATTTATTTGAAAGGCAGAGTTACAGAGAAAGAGGGACAGAGAGATCTCCCATCTGCTTCGCTCCCCAGATGGTTGCAATGAACAGGGCTGTGTCAGGCCAAAGCCAGGAACAAGGAACTTCATCTGGGTTGTGGGGGCCAACCACTTTGGCCATCTTCCACTACTTTTCCCAGGCCATTAGCAGGGAGCTGGATCAGAAGTGGAACAGCCGGAACTCAAGCCACATGGGATGCTGGCATCGCAGGTGGCAACTTTACCTGCTATGCTGGGACACTGGCCCCCAGCTATACTTTTTAAGGAATGAATTGATACAGAATAAACCATCAGTAAACATGCTCTAAATATTTTTTCCATTTTAAAATCCTTAAAATGTAGCATTAGAACTTTCATTACTGTTATCTTTTGTATTATCAATTGAAATTTAAAGGAAGTTTAGGGTGTTTATAATCCAAATTTATCATTTAAAAGATACTATAAACATGAGATTAATATTATCAATGCTAATTAGCAATACTAATAACTAAGTAGCTAACCTTTTTTCTAATCATTTTCATGGCATCTGGGTTGTAGTGGTTGGCTTTTTGTTTTGGGGGTGGAAAGTATGGATGGTGGGGGAAGGGACTTTCCACTTTAAACACAACCTTAGAATGAATTATCTCAGGCACGTGGGAGATTCTTGGTCATGAAACACTTCCATTAAGGGATGAAAATCAACCTATGAATTAGTCGGTGTTTGTACATTGTGAATTCCAAAGCCAAATGTACATTTCTCACATAACTGCTTCACTCTGTGGTGATTCTGGATATGTATTTGAAAGGATTTTCTCATCTAAAAGAGATCTGAATTCAATTTTATTGAGGTCTGGTAGCTAGAAGAAAATGCCTGCTAATTAGCAAAGGAGCTGTTCAATGAGAACATCATGCTTCTGTCTTTTTTGGGTAGCATTAATTTAAAACAACTTACATTACTGTGGATGTTCTTAATGATACGTGTAAAGGAAATGAGTCAGTAGCTTTGAGCTTTTCTATCAAGATGTGAAATTTAAAAAAATGACAGACATCTATTTTCAGCAGATTTTTCCACTATTTAAAAAATGTAACATTGCATTTTCCATCATGGTTAAAAGGATTTCATTCATCACATTCTTAATAAGGAAGTTGTTAGGCCTGAAGTTTGATTATTTTTATGGGATTCATTGTTAGGTTTCTTAAATGTAAATTAGAGTTCCTTTGTTTAGTATTTTAGGCAAGGAAAAAGAACTCTGCTAAAATTTCAGTTTAGTTTAGTTAAATGAAGTATTTATATTTTAGAATATGAAGCATTCTGTACATACATGGATAAAAAGCTTTATAACAAAATGTGTAACACCTAAGTAGGGCATCTAGCAAATGGAATTTATCTTACAAAGGGAATTATAATTTTCTGACTGTTACAATTCTGAGAATGCGTTTTTGTTGAGACTAATTTCTGAGTTTTGGTGAACAAGTCTTGATTCCAAGGATCATTAACCTTAATATTAGTGAAACAATTGAAAGAGAATATAGAAAGTTTTTTCCAGTGATTTTTCAATAACATTTGGCTTAAGGAAATATTTATAGGCTTGAAATAGAGAAGGGAGCCATAAATATTTAGTAGATTTAGAAACAGAAGCCTGAGAAATTTAAGTATTTTCTGGGAAAAAAGAAAATGGAAAAAAAAAAAAACGAATTTAAGTGTTTTTATCCACAGTCCACTTCTTTAAGGCCCTAGATCTCAATCCCTATATTCTATTTTTTTATACTTTGGCCTCTCAAAGTAGTTGCTATAAACTATTCTTTTTCATTGGTAGTCATTGGCATTTTTCCCCTCTCATCTAAGAACCTTAAGTTATTTTTAGTCTTTCCACTTTATCACCAGAAATTAATCTGGGTCTGAGCCTTGTTTTTCCTAGTTTGAAGGATCTGGCTGCTCTACCTTTTTTTCATTTCCATTCTCACTATTCCAGTTGGACTCATAATCTTATGTTGGGATTGCTTTCCTGACTTCCTATTAGCCAGTCTCCCAATTCCATTTTGTTATGAACTGAAATGAAAATAACATTTTAGGAAATGCTACCTTTAACCCTTTAACACTCCTGCCTGACCCTGATCACGCTATGGTTTTCTACTGTGGAAGTCACCTGGACACCTGGCAATAAGCAAGCCCCTAGTAAAAATTCCCAGCAATAAGGAAGTCACTAGTAATGTAAAAGCCCCTAGTCAGTGGCAGTATCTCAGATATGCATCTCCTAGTTTATAATCCATGTTGCAGCAGAAGTCTGTTTTCTTTCTGTCTTGCTCTCCCACTGTTCCCTTGAAGTGTATTTTAATAAATCTTAAGTGCTCACTCCTCTCTGTTCTGCTGGTGAATTCCTTCACCACCTGTGACATTGTCTGTAGTCTGTGGCTTCCTGTGACATCAGCACATTTGCATGTATTTATCAAGCATTTCCTGTTACATTATTGGTATAGTGTGGTATTCATAGCATTATTAAGCCATGAATATGTATATTAAATGATACCCATCTCAAATAATTTGAAGTAAGGAATTTTTTAAATAAATATTTATTTATTTGAAAAAAGAGTCGAGTCAGAGAGACTCCCATGTAGGTGGCATGGCCCCACATATTAGGGCCATTCTCTGTTGCCTTCACAGGCACATTAGCAGGAAGGTAGATTAGAAGAACGGTAGGTGGGAAGCGCAGTAGGTGAGTGGTGGCTTAACTGTGTCACAATACCAGCCTCTAGAAAGTGATGTTATTTAAAATCTATGATTCCTTCTTCAAGTAATTTATGATTCATTTGAGGATGCTCCATAAAAAGAAGTTTAATGGTAGAAAGATATTAATAATATGATTTTTCTTTTTTCTACAGGTTCCTGTTGCGTGTAAATCATGTCCCTGTGGTTACATATTTATTAGCAGAAAACTCTTAAATGCAAAACACTCAGAGAAATCACCACCTTCTACAGGTAATGGTCAGAGTTTAACATATTTTTAGCTTTTTGATGTAGAAATTCAAAGGTACTTTTTGTGAATTTACTATTTATATTTTTTGTTGATGTTAAAATGTATTGAAGTATGTCTTTGGCTTCTATTAACCATTGGAAATCAGCTTACAACATTGGTTTTGTATTTATTCCATTTAAATGTTAACTATTTCAGAATGCTGGTTAAGTTTCTAGCACTTTTTTTTGGAGAATGGAAAATCATTGAAGGCTTTATACAAAGGAGTGACTTGATGTGATTTCCAAACTTTTTTTTTTTAAGGTTTATTTATTTATTTGAAAGAGTTACACAGAGAGAAGAGAGGCAGAGAGAGAGAGAGAGGTCTTCCATCTGAGGGTTCACTCCCCAGTTGGCTGCAATGGCTGGAGCTGTGCTAATCCGAAGCCAGGAGCCAGGAGCTTCTTCTGGGTCTCCCATGTGGGTGCAAGGGCCCAAGGACTTGGGTCATCTTCTACTGCTTTTCCAGGCCATAGCAGAGAGCTGGATTGGAAGTGGAGCAGCTGGGTCTCAAATCAGTGCCCATATGGGATGCTGGTGCTTCAGGCCAGGGCGTTAACTCACTGCACCACAGAGCCTGCCCGAAACACTTTTTAACAATAGCTTAAGTAATAATTAACATTCTGTGGGGCGGCACTGGCATTTAGTGGGTAAAGCTGCCTCCTGTAGTGCCAGCATTCCATATGGTTCGAGTTCTGGCTGCTCCACTTCCCATCCAGCTCTCTGCTATGGCCTGGGATAGCAGTAGAGGATGGCCCCTCCTGTACCCATGTCGGAGACCCAGAAGCTCCTGGCTCCTGGCTTCGGATCGGCACAGCTCTGGCCATTGTGGCCATCTGGAGAGTGAGCCATTGGATGGAAGACTTTTTCTCTCTCTCTCTCTGCCTCTGCCTCTCTGTAACTCTGCCTTCAGATAAATAAATAAATCTTTTAAGAAATTAACATTTTGTAAGACATTTAAAGTATATAATTCAATAAGAGTTTTGATATTTTATACACCTATCACCACTATCAATTTTATGAACATTTATCATTCCCAAAAGTTTTCTGGTTCCACTTTGTGTTCCCTTCTTGCTACCCCTATCCTAGTGAGCCACTGATCTGTTTTTTGTCACTCTTCATATAGATAGGACCATATAGTATATACAGTGCTCTTTTTTTGCTTTTTCACTGGGAATAGTTATTTAAGATTCAACCATGTTGTGTGAATCATTGAGCCCAGTCCTTTTTATTGCTTGGTAATAGTTTCGAATGTGTATGCCACAGCTTGGTTATCCATTTATCTGTTGATAGACTTTTTTTTTTGTTAAAAGATCTTTTTGTTTATTTTGAAAGTAGAGTTTGAGAGAGGGAGAGAGAGAGAGAGCTGAAGTGTCCATTCACTCGATCACTCCCCAAATGACTGCAACGGGCGGGTTGGAAGACAGGAGCCAGGAGCTCCCATGTAGGTGTCAGAGGCCCAGACACTTAGGCCCTCTTCTGCTGGAAATAGATCTGAGGTTGAACAGCTGGAACATGAACTGGTGTTCTTATGGGACTCCGGTGTTACAGGAGGCAATGCCAGCCTTGTTGATGAACATTTGGGTTTCTTCTTTTACACTGCTGGTTAAAATTTGCAAGTTTTGGTAGTTTTTTTTCTTTTTTTGGTCTTTTTTATTGGTGTGTGTGTGTAAACTAGTACCTATGGGGAAAACATTACTTGATTTGGTTTGAATATAATTTTTAGACATTGGTTATTTTTTCTAATTCCTAGAGTGAGATTTTTTTTAACTTTATAAACATATGATTAATGGTATACTAAGTAAACTGTATATTAAGTAACTGTATACTAACTCAATTTCTCTATTGAGCTGATCGTATGTTTTTTGTTTGTTAGTGTGATATATCACATTGATTGATTTGTGAATGTTGAACCATCCCTGGATACTTGGTCTGGGTGAATGATGTGTTGTTGGATTCAATTGGTTAGTATTTTGTTGAGGATTTTTGCATCTGTGTTCATCAGGGAAATTGGTCTGTAGTTCTCTTTCTCTATTATATCTTTTTCAGGTTTAGGAATTAAGGTGATGCTGGCTTCATAGAAGGAGTTGGGAGGATTCCCTCCCTTTCAATTGTTTTGAATAGCTTGGGAATAATTGGAGTTAGTTCTTCTTTAAATGTCTGGTAGAATTCAGCAGTGAAGCCATCCAGTCCTGGGCTTTTCTTTGCTGAGAGGGTCTTTATTACTGATTCAATTTGTGGTTATTGGTCTGTTCGGGTTTTCTATGTCTTCATGGCTCAATTTAGTTAGGTTGTATGTGTCCATGAATCTATATATTTCTTATAGGTTTCACAATTTGTTGGCCTAGAGCTCTTTGTAGTAATTTCTGATGATTCTTTTTATTTCTTTGCTGTTTTGTTATGTTTCCTTCTTCATTCTACTTTTATTTATTTGGGTTTTCCCCCTCTTTTTTTTTGTTAGTTGAGCCAATGGTGTGTCAATTTTGTTTATGTCTTCACTAATTTTAATTATTTCTTTTCTCCTACTACTTCTGGGTTTGGTTTGCTATTGTTTTTCTAGGTCCTTGAGATACACTGATAGCTCGTTTATTTGGTGCCTTTCCAGTTTCTTGATGTAGTCACCAATTGCTATAAACTTTCCTCTTAACACAGCTTTTGCTGTATTCATATTTTTTTTAAGATTTATTTATTTATTTGAAAGGTAGAGGATTACAGAGAGGCAGAGGCAAAGAGGGAGAGAGAAAGAGAGAAAAGTCTTCTATCCACTGTTTTACTCCCCAAATGGCCGCAACCACCAGAACTTGGCTGATCCAAAGAGAGGGGCTTGGAGCTTCTTGTGGGTCTCCCACTCGGGTACAAGGACTCAAGAACTTGTACTTGTACTTCCACTGCTTTTTCCCAGGCCATAGCAGAGAGCTGGATCGGAAGTGGAACAGCCAGGACTCGAACCAGCACCCATATGGGATGCTGGCTTTACTTGCTACACTGTCGCGCTGGCCCCTCCAATAAGTTTTGATATGTTGTATTGTCTTCATTCATTTCCAGAAATTTTTGATTTTTCTTTTGATTTCTTCAATGAGCCACTGTTCATTCAGGAGCACATTGTTCAGTGTCCACGTGTATAAATATGTTTAGAAACTCTTGAGTTGTTACTTTCCAGCTTCATTCCATTGTGGTCCGAGACGATGCACAGTATTATTTCGATTTTTTTGAATTTGCTGAGACTTGCTTTATGGCCTAGTCTGTGGTCTGTCCTAGAGAAAGTTCCATGCACTGCTGAGAAGAATGTATATCCTGCATCTGTAGGAGGAAAAGTTCTATTGTTTGATAGTATCACATAAATCTTTAACACTGTTTTTTAGTTTTCTAATTTCTTCTTTTTCTTTGATCTGACTGTAAAATTTCCAGTGATTTGTCTTCTAACTCGGATATTCTTTCTTTTGCCTCACCGAGTCTGTCTTAGGGCTTTCTGTTGTGTTTTTTATTTGTTCTATTGAATTCTTCATTTCCAATATTTCATTTTGATTTCCCTTTAAAATCTTAATTTCATGGGAAAAATTTTATTCATGTCATGTATGGATTTTTAGTTCATGAATTTGCTTCTGATTACTTCTGAGGAATCCTGCAATCAACTTTTTGAATTCTGTTTCTGGCATTTCTTCAATCTTTTCATCTTTACATTCTAGTGTTGGAGTGTTCTTTTGGGGGCATCATGTTGTCTTCCTTATTCTTGTTTCTTGAATTGCTGTGTTTATTATTAGGCATTTGTGGTGATAGTGTTAATCCCCTCCCCACCCCCGCCCCGTGATGGCTTTTATCTTTTAACTATGCCTCTGTGGCTTAGTGGAGTGTCCACTCTTTCAGTGAGTATCCAGAGGCGTGTGCTGGGTGTGGTCAGGGAGCTCTGTTCAGTGCTCCAGGGTAAGGGGAGTATCCAAGGTGACACCCAAATTGGGGGTGGTAAATCTCCTCTTATTTTTTCTTTTTCTTTAATCAGAAGGGAAGTTTGTTCTGCTGTGCTCACACTCCCCTCCCCTCCTCAGAGGAGACCAATGCTTGGGCCTTAGCCCCAGTAGGTATAGTTTTCATCCCTACTGCCACAAGAACCACACAAAGGATCCCTGCAGTCCTTGGTGTGAACACGAATCCCACAGCAGTGACCCTCACCAGGGAATCGGGGAGCACCGAGCATGTGGTGTCACCCAGTGACTGCCCAAAGTCCCAGGCACACCCTGCACCCTCGCTTGCTGCCACAGTGTTTTCACAGTCCAGGCACACAAGGCTCCCACAGTCACCAGCTCCCAGCCCCCTGTCAATTCTCCCAGCCAGACTCAGGCATCTCCTCTTGGCTGGTTGCGGGCACAAGGGCATGAGCTGGCGCAGCTGTTATGTATGTCCAAAATGGTGCCCACCCTATCTCAGCAGGTTACAGGATACCCATACTGGGTGGTCCGGAAGAGCAAAACATGCCCCCTTTTTTCTCCTCTAAGTTGGCAGGTACACTGTCCCCCCGAGCATTCCAACCCCGACTTAACGCCAGGCTCTTCCTGCAGCTTTATTGCCAGTGGCTTGGTTCCTGCAGTCTGGTCTCACCTCACTCCAAAGCTGATGCTGAGGCTCTTGGCTGCTGGGGTCCTGAGTTGTGCATATCTACACTCTCCACATAGGTACACAGTGTCCATCTAATTTGCATGGAGTTTCCTCTGCTGTTTTCTAACTCACTCCACTTTTTTTTTTTAACTCTCTTCCCCTTGACTAGAGCAGCAAGCTCCCTGCCTATTCCACTATCAGCAATTAATTGAGAATTTTTAAAAATAATTTTATTTGAACTTGTGGCTTTCTCATTAATATAGACAGATTGGATTTATTCAATAGATATATTTATTAAAGGAAAATTTTGGGGGCTGGACTTGTGGTACAGTGGTTTAAGTTGCCACCTGCAATGCCATCATACCACATGGGTGCT